TTATGTAAGATAAAAAGCTGTTACATTAAGACTACAAGGGATACTGTATTGTAAGGGGAAAAACCTTTTAAATAAAAATTTTTTAAACGGTTTAAAACACGAATATTCAGCAATCTTATAACCCACTAAATGTACTATCCCTCTACAAGATACCAGGCGTTTAAAGATTGGATTGTGTTTGTGGCATACATCGGTCAAACAATGCGTAGCTTGTCCAACAGAATTTAAAATCCATCGTGGATATCAATCATAAACGTGTTTAAATAAAACACTTTAACGGTTTAAAACGCGATATATTAGACAGTATTTAATAAACGTGTTTCTTAATCTGCGATAAAGGCGCAATCGCTACACTTAAGACTAGTCAATAATACTTGCAAAAGAAAGTTATTTTTTCCAAGAATGATTCGCGAAGCAATTGTATTCAAACATTTAAATAGCAATAAGGAAGACGGCCACTATAAACTCTAGATCCCAGACAACAGCAGACCGGTTTATATAACCCATATTATATATGACTCGTTTCAAACCGTTAAAAGTGTTTGATTTAATTGTTGTTTCAATTAATAAACCAGCAAGCTAAGAACGAGTTACATTTGTTTAACAATGGTTTTTTCCTTTCACAAGAATTTCTAAACCTTTAAAATAACTACATTTAATTGTTTTCTTAAATCTATTCTGCGATCTTTGTCTTTCACTTAAAAGAAACAAATATTCGTTTTCTATTTTGCTACCTACAAAGTTAAATACGATTGAGACAACACTTCGCATTTTGCTAGATGTTGTTATATTTCTACTTTTAAATTCGCTATGAGACATCGTTGAACTTAAGTTCCGAGTTTCATTAGTCAAAGTGAATACTTTCTATAGTTTACGCGAGTAGTACACATTTAAATAAAACACTTTAACGGTTTAAAACGCGATATGAATAACGTATATGAATAACCTTTGCGTTGGGCGAATTTTTATGTTTTAACTAATATATCGCGTTTTAAACCGTTAAAGTGTTTTATTTAAATTGTCAAAGTGATCTAATAAGTCTTTAAATAAGTAAATCACGATAGGCTTTTTGGTGCTTGGAAATGGCTGAATAATCAACGGGCCTCGAACTATATATTTTTTTGGAAATCTGGATATTGGGTGGTAGTAATATCAAAAGTCCGTCCAGTTGACAAGCGTCCATAGACGAGAAGTAGTCTCGTTTCAGTCTGTAGATGTCTAAACCTAAAGCCGAAATAGGACGACAACACATCTTATGTAAATGTTAAACGGCTCGTCTGTCCTCCTCTATCATAAAAAAAAAACAAACAAAAATGAGTCTAAAAAATTAAACATGGGTTTTGTTTACACAACGTTTAAATAAACACTAGATACACTTTGTGTGGGGTACATTTAAAACTTTGCCCAAGTCATAATTAAAGTGCTCAAGTCGGGGTTATGACCTCATACAGCGGGTTTACGTAACTTAATATACAAGATTCATACAACGGAACTGAAGTTGAAGCTTGCATGATTTTATTAGGAGGGACACGCTTAATTTACAAAGGGACGTTGTTTCACTAGCTATTTTAGCTTAAGATATGAGGCTGCTAGAGGCAGAGTGGCCTAATAACAGATAACATGATTTTCTATTAGAAGGAAAATTAAAATGCGCAATTATCTTAGGCGAAAATGAATTTGTATTATTATGTTTGTAAAAATTATGTTAATAATTTTCGGTCACTGTTTATTCAGACACAACGTTTACAATTAAAACTTAATCCGATACAAATAAAATCTAATTAAATCTAAATCAAAAAGTATATAAAGAATTAAAATTAATACTACAATACAACCTCTGAAAAGGAAACCACTCGGCTACGTTGGGACTGATGTCCCAACACTGATATTCTGGGGCCGAGTTAACGCAAGCGAGGTTGTTTCACATTTTTTCTATTAAGCTTAAACACTAACGCTTAACATAATTACACTTATATATTTAAATTATAATAAATTATAGTCTTATATATAGACACATACATTACTTGCCCTTTACTAGTTAGATTTTATAAAATATACTAAATTATAGTAATAGTATAAAAATAAAGTATTTTAAATCTTAAGTTTTTTCTTTCAATTCTTACAATCTAATATAATAAAATATATTCAGTCTGACGTAATTGATTCTACTGACTCTTGTAAATTAAGATTGTTTGACTATGAAAATATAAATAACTCAAGTCGTAAAATTGCAGTTAGGCTACTCTTCCTCTAGTGGCCTCATTTATCGTAGATAAAATTATTTTCTAGATGGAACGAGAACCCGTATTAATTCTCAAATAGTGACATGCTGGTGAGAGGCATAGGCTATCGAGAATATGTGTTACTGATGCGTTTACACATCGTCGATAGATTGAGAACCCCGTGCTTATAGTTATGAACTTTTATAAACAATCTGCTTAATGTTTTATTGCTTCAAACAACTCTACTCATGCCCTGTTCCTGACGTCCTTTTAACTGAACTATTCGATAGCGCTGTTGAGTCCACAGACTGCCAAAATACGTTTTGAATACCACATCTTACGTCAAACTCCCTTAACTCAAGTTTTATTGAACCGATCGTTGTTGGCGGTTTATTACAACTAAACACGTTAATTCTGACAAAAAATGTTTATTTATATAGAGGAATTAAAAATAAAGAACAACGGCGAAGTTGTTCTGAAGCATGTTGGATATCATCTGAAAATTTCGGATTTTAATGGGTGGCGGAGGATATGAAAATTCCGTCCACAGATAAACAGACCGTAGAGTTTGATTCCGGTTTTAGTCTGTGGATTTCCAAATATCTTCACCCAAAATACCTTCCACCTAGTGATATATTCCCTATGCTAGTCTGTCTTCTTTTTTACCATAAAAAGACGAAAGATATTTAGTAGGTATTCTCAGTCGATACCAAACCTGTTTTCTGCCAAATATACGTCAGGAAGTTTATCTTGAAAAAGTATAAATCCTCTTGGAATGGCCATAAAGAGTCGATAAAAAATATCAGCGTACTTTATAGCTTAATAGAGATAGGGTGTGACCGTGGGCAAACTGCGATATGAGTCTCGTGAGTATTGTGCTCAAACACGAGTGTCATATCCAAGTTAATTACAAGTTCGAATTGAGTTCTTGATAGTGTTGTGTGTTTTGGATATTGAAATTGTTACGCGCCTCTGGCGACCTCTTTTGGCGATAACTTGGAAGATTCGACGGTAGAATCACATAACATTTATATATACAGAGACGTTAATAAGTTTGATTGAATGCCATAATTATTACTCTACAATTGAAATAAATCAAATATATGAAAAATATGTTAATGTAGATAACGTTCATTTCTTTAAGCAATAAATGGCTCGTGGCTAAATTAAGATAAGCTAAACAAAAGACTATAAGTTCCAACTATTAGTAGTGTTTTTATCTTTTGCGTATTTATGTGATGTAGTCTTTTATTAAGACGCGTATGAAGAAAAATCGTTAAACGGTTTAAAACGCGAAATATATTATATTGTAATATATTAACTTATTTCTACCGGATTCCCTCGTGACAATGGCTGCAAAGTAGGCTAAATAGCTCGCATAAATAGCAGACAATGCTTAGTAACGTTTTAGTATAGTTAATATTGCAGTCTGTCAAATACTCGTAAATCATTACAAAGCATTGTGAACATTCTAAATAACTACTTTAACCGCAGTTACACGGACCGCAGAACTATTTTGATACAACATTCAACGTTGCTTAAATATTTACAAATAATAATCACGGAATATCATTTCCCATGGGCACTTCTGCAAATTGTTTCGCCGAGGTAAACCACAGGTAGCGAACGGACAAAATAGCAAATTATATTGTTCGACTTTATAAAGTTCCCTAAGGAGTTATAGACAACCCAAAGTTGTCTTAATTCGAATTCTTTCGCAATTTGAGGGTAGTTTGTAATTTCTATACGAAAACTGAATAAAAGCTTAGAAGCTTTAAATCAAAATGACGGATTCCTATAAATAACCATGTCATGTCAACTGTCAACTTCGTTGTGGGATTTTGTATTCATATATATTTAAATAAAACACTGTAAACGCTGTGGATATCGGTTCAAGTCCTGCCCGAGTCGGTAATTATTTCAATTTATAGTCGATATTTAATTTATATAACACTTAACGGTTTAAAATGCGAAATGTATTAGTTAACTAATAAACTTTGCTTATTCTTATTTAGTTAAGTTTGCTACAATATACGATTGAAGCAAGCAAGCGCCACCTTGTAAAACAGGAGTAATATTAAAAGTCTAGTATCAGTAAACCTGTGTAATATCAATAATTATTTTCGTTATTTAAATACAATGCTGAAGTAGCACTTTGTATGCAAACCATGGAATACATAAATGTATAACTAAATACAACACTAGCGCACTTATTGCTTGCATTCAGCAAAATCATGATTTATGCATTAGCCCAAATTCAATAATATTGTAATACGATATTAATTCTCAAATCCTATCGGATGGATTCAATAATAAATGATAAATTCTATTGAAATTCAACATGTAACATTGTTACTGCCGTAGCAATCAATAAAACGACAATTTTCCTTTCAACCTTGGCTCACCCTTTCAATTAATAGCGTTTTGGCACAACATGTCAGGCGATGACGAAAATTTGTCGATGTTGGGTTAAGGACGGGAATATTTAGAAAACACATTATCTTTCCTAACAATGCTGTAAAGTAATACTATCTGTTACTACACAGAAGTGTACCATAGAGATAGTTCGACCATAAAACTATAAAGTACCTTTTTTATATTCGAGTACATTTAGATTTCTAATATATTTCTAATTTCTAGAATATTATATTGTTATTGTTTAGGAACATGTTGGATCCATAATATTTTTAAAGATAGAGAAATACTGTATGAAAACGTTACAGTGACATCAATTCAACCAAGACTCAGGACTTAATTCAATTCTTGTGTTTGTTGCAGAGGAGACGACACCGAGAGTGCTCGTCGCGAACGATTCAGTATCAGAAGAGGTCGATAAAGATACAAAGCTGCCGCACAACGAGGGAAACATGATAGTTGGTGAGTTACATTCAGCACACTAACCAATCTAGTAATAGGAAGTATTGAACAATAAAGCTTAAGATGTTTTTAACTTGTAAAATAAATAGAGTACAAATTACACTCAAAAGAGTTACTTCTGATAATATAAAATTATAAAAATAGTAGGTTCATAAAAGAGACGATACCGACAGAGACAATATAGAGGTGCAAATTTGAACAAGAATCATTGAATAAAGAGTTCTGAAGGGTGCCTTTAAAAGCGTTCAAAGTGAAGAGATGAAGGTCACAAAAAGAATTAAAAAGTGCCGCGGTTCTTGGGAAGTAGCACTGAAGGCATTTTTAATTATGTATTAGTGTGAATTACAGGATGCGTCAAAGCGTTTTGCTTGATAGTTAATTTGGAGTATGAGTACAGAGAAATAAAATGTCGTCCAGATATTTCCCACACTCGCTGCATATTCTTTGTCCTGATCTGGAATCATTCTTACTGCATTAAAATTCTTACTCAGTAAGTCCGTAAAGAGTTTGATTTATGAATATTAAAGCTTTTATATCATTTTCATAAAAATAACTATACTTCTATAGCTTCCTTTGCAAGTAAGAACGAATACAACTTTATTACATAAAGCTCCAAAAAGTATCTACTTAGACTATTTTGATGCACTTAGTGTCAAAAGGCAAGCACAGAGCAAAGACGACATCTTTAGAGCTTTGAGAATCTTTATGCATATAAACATAACAAGACGCAGATGTCTAAAAATTCAGAAGAGTCAGCGTGATATATGAATGTAGCGTATAAAATATTTTTCATACGTTTACCTTTACATAAATATATTTATATTTGGATTGTCTGGAAGCGATCGCTTGTATTGTAAGGATGTCCATTATATTCCATATTAAAATCTTGTTTAAATTTTACTTTTCTTTTGAAAGTGTAGAGATTATCTCAATTAACATATATCAAAATATTTAACAAAACATTTTTAACGGCTTAAACATGCAAAGTATCCGAAATCACGGGCAAAAATAAATTAGCTAATGTATTTCGTCTTTCAAACCTTTATCAATTTTTTATGCAAATGCATACTCGAAGGCTAAAACTGAAGAATCATAATTGCTTATTATAGAAAACTTAAAAATTTCCATAAAACTATTTCAACCGTTAAAAGTACAGACGCATATAGAAGCCATTTAACCAACGTTTAACAGACAATTAACTACTCAATTGTTACGTCCTACCGTCTCGGAGATAAGTATGATAATCTCATTCTACCAGCACAGTTTAAAACCAGTAGGATAAAAAAAACGTGAGAGATAAGTTTGGACAGTATGATTGCTTCTTCAGTTTAAGTCCAAACATTTTTTTATAAATATTATTGTCGATATATAGTCTGTGTCTAATAATGTCTGTTTTATAAATTAGTACTGGCCTCGAAATTCCACTATCTACGAGTCTTTAATATGTATAGCGCGCTATCATTCTATATTAACACGAATTGTACAAGCGTCTTTATCAATCCTAACTGTACAATTTCTAACTGTGGCCGGTCAGCGCCAGTTCGTGTCCAACTTCGCCAGCATTTAGGTCTCAACAGAAACTTTGACATCCCTTTAAGGCAAGTCTTGCGGAAGTGCTTTGTTTTTCAACTTTATGTCTAAGGATTATCCGTTTATTTAAAAGCTCTAAGAACGAGTATTCTTATCTAGAGTCTTGCAGTCAAATGCATAAAAGTAAAATCTCCCCTAATGGGGTGTGGCGAACACATTTATGTGTCCGTTTCACCGATAGGTTTTATTTACATGAAGTTGATAAAACTTCTGTGCCCTACTTATTGTTTCATCGGTATTCGAAACCTATATGTGGTATAGGATCCACTCTGAACGCTATGCTATGCAACACGTTTAACAATTAAGCTACAGAGGTGATCAAGTGCCTAGAAGATATTTAACTAATTTGACCGAAATATTAAAATTAGCGGAAGAATAAGTTTATACAAGCATGTCGGGTTAAAAATCCTTTTAGATTGTCAAAAGACGACGACACGGACGGGACTTGAACCTCCATCCTGTATCCACAGCGATCCTTGCTATTGCTCTAATCAATTGAGGTACCGTGTCGTACCATCGGGCTCGATTCGCACTGGGCCAGTTTGTAAATCATTTTTAGATCTTTCTTTCTTTTTAGATCTACATGGGTGACTAGTATTCATGACCGGGTGTTTTCAACGCTGAGTTTAATACAAAGCCGACTTAATTTTATATAACTGTGTATCTAATTAATAATGTTTGTTACAGACATCGTCATCCCGTCGCTACTTATAGCGGCGTTGTTCATAGGCAACGCGTTCATTGTGCTCATCATATACAAATACAGGAAACGGTATGTATTTTACATGTATGCTTAATTATAAATCTAGAGTTTGTGTATTTGTACGCGCTAATCTCAGGCACTACTGGTTCGAAGGGAAAAAATCGTTTTTAACTCTGTCTATAGTTTACGCGAGTAGTACAGATTTACATAAAACACTTTAATGGTTCAAAACACGATAAATATTAGTTAAACTTATTTGAGATTTATTTTAAAGTCTACATACTAGTCTCGCCGTGACCACGACTGCTGCAAAGCATCCCACACATCGGGCCGTACATTAAATAATATTCAAATAAGTTTAACTAATATAGATCGCGTACGTAGAAAGTGTACTATTTGAAATCGTTTTGTCCATTTATCGAGGAAGGTTTAAGCTATATTAATGTTATGCTAGTTGCGTGATAATTAAGTTATGAATCGAGTTTGGTCAAAATTAATGCATTGTTACCATTTTTTTTGGAGTTGTATCAACGTTATATCAATCTTTTAATAACAAAACAACATTTGCCGGACCAGCTAGCATAATATACAAGGTTTATTAGAAGCGCTTTCATTCAATTACTTCTTTATACACTATCGTATTATTCAATCTCCTTGGTGTTCATTGTATCTTGTTCAATATACTCGTAGTATCGTCGTCCTCGCAACTAAACTCATTAAAAGATGTTGCATGCTGAGAAAATCTACATGTGTATATAGCCAACAAGTCTACTAGAAGATGTTTGTGTTAGAAACTATAGTTAATATTAAAATAAAGTTAATAAGTTTGACGATTATTAAATAACTCTCTAAAAGTGCTTTCTTAAATTAAAATATCAGCGTTTTTGCACCCGATTGTACGGTATTTGAGGTTAGGCATGAAGGGAAAATAGCTTAGGGCTTTTATAAGCTGTAGGTACTCACTCAAAACTTGAGTGATGTTTGACAATTGAAGCAACACATTTAATAATTGACATAAATGTGAAAATTTAAATTTTCTGTAATATTTGGAAGTTAAAAAAAGTACGTTGTCTAGAAACCATATAAATAAAAAGTGGAACATGGGGCATGGGGTAAACCTATTCATATGTCTCGCCTTGACCATCTGAAAACATTTATAATCTATCTGTAGTTTACGCGAGTACACATTTAATCAAAACATTTCGTATACAATTTTTAGGTTTCAAAAATTTGAACCCTGGACCTCTCGCGTTCAACGCGATGCTAATTTAAAATAATCATTGTATGGCAGAGGCAAGTAAGTATACAACAATAAATAGGTCCTATGGTAACTGACCCATCCCGAGACCGACAATTGCTTACCAATGAACTGGGCACTTATCCAATTACCACCGTAAATCCTTTTAGAGAATTCCTTTATAAGGGACAGTGAACTGCGGGCTAGATAATGATGTTAAGGGTCATACTATCTTTAAATAAAACACTTTAACGGTTTAAAACGCGATATATTTTAGTTAAACTTTTTTGGGAATTATTTTTAACTACGGCCCGACGTTTCGGATGCTTTGCAGCAGCCGTGGTGACGGGCAGAGTAAAGATGGAGGATGTCTCTGACGTCAGTAAAAATTGCTACGCTATCGCCATCTGTTCCGTCGAATTTGGTATTTGGCGAAACTTATTATAGTTTGGTATAATAATTTATGACGCCTTCATATATATTAAGATTTTTTAACTTTTACATCGTTTTTTTTCACATGTTATTGCACATGATGGCATTACGTAATTATAGAAAAGCGCTCGTTTTTTTTTTAATTCTCAATTATTTCGTGTAGTGTAATGACGTGTAAGCCACGATAGCTATGGACGCCGGGCTAAGGCCCCTCCATGTCGGTATTTTTTTTTTCAAATTTAAGTAAGTTGTTTTTTAACTTTTATATCAACACACACGGCACAATTTAGTTTAGATCGTTTGAATGAGTTTCATTCAAGAAACTTTTTATTCTGTTTTTTTTTGCGGTTTGGGGGGGATGATGTTGGTTAGGGTGTGTGTGTGTGACTTAGTGAATATGGCAGCTCCACGTCCACAACAACATCTCGACATCTCGTATACACAATTTAATATTGAATTAAACACGTGTAATTGTTTAAAGCGCGTAATATATTAGCTAATCTATTTGACCCGATGTTTCTGATACTTAATAATAATTGAATGTCTTACTCAAGATAAGACACAAAGCAAAGATAAAGATAACGCAGAACAAAGACAATTTAAGAAAAAATCCAAGAAAGAAACGAGAAACAATTTCCTGGTCACACACGAGTAATTGTACCGCGGAGACAACAGGGTCTCTGTAGAATACGCTTTGATGAGTAATGGGATAACTGCTTTTGCTTTGGGAAACTTTGGGGGTACTCCGAATTATTACTTAATCGGTTAATTCTAGACGAAAGAAAATAATGAACCGCTTTTTATTAGACGACCATCATACAGTTCGGCTATATACAAGATGCTGTCTCCGCATGTTATAATATACTTTAAACATTGCAAAATTTCATTCAAATCAGCCTAGTAGTTTAGGTGCAAAAATCGATCGAGAAGTGATAACTGCGTACTGTTGAAATTTTTTTTTCCGTTTACTCGTGTCAAAAACATCAAAGGTGAGGTAAATAAAACAAACTTTGCGATTAAAAAAAATAACTATTTCCGAACTTTTTCGGGAAATAGTTGTATTACAACGAGTATAGAACATAGGTCAATATTATATGATCTGGCGGCACCCTGCGTATTTGAATATTCAAAGCCAAGAAACGACGTAGATGGCTTGTTAAATTAAATTTTATATTTTCATCTTTCTCCATCATAAGGTACAACAATTATCATATAATTACGTACGACTTCTAATAATAATTCTTATTTTAAAAATAGAATTACACTAATCATAGTGTACCAGTATACCAAAAGGGGTTTCTCGAAAGTCCCATAATATGTACTGTACGATTTTAATTTCAAAATACTTACTACAATTAGAATCATTGTGAACATAATCAAATGAAGCTTTGTTTACTGACAGGCTGGGCTCGTGGCGTGTGCCTAAACAATAGTAACGTATCGACGTGAACCAGCACAGTGCGTACTTATCATTGTAATACCGCTATTGATTTGTGAATCACTATCTCATCAATTAATTATTTATGTAGTACAGACCCTTCGCTAGAAATGTAATTGTGTCAGTAGATAAACTTTAGTAGAGTTGTTCAACAAAATTTCTGTAATAAACATTGATAATATTAAGACAATTTTTACATTCATTTTATAAACGGAATTTCGGGTTGGAATTGGAAATCAATATTATATGAGTGGTATTGATTTAGAATTTTTCGATTACTTATTTAATTTATGAGTATTACAGTTGTTAAGAATTACTACATGATTTGGTAGATGTAAATGTACGTATTTGAAAATTACATTAATGTTTTTTAATAATCATCAAATAGAATATCTTGATGCCTTGCTAAATTACGCGAAAATAATATGTAGGATTACTACTGTACATAACATCAGACATACGTAGTCACACACAGACATATTTTGTCTATGACATAATTTGAATATTTTTTTAATTATTGGCGTTAATTGCACTTTAGCGGTAATATATATAAAAAAAGTTAATATGTATCTGACTTTATTCATTTTAAAATAAATATTTGTTAGGCCAAGAATTTAATGACTCACTTGTAACGCATCAAATCGTTTGCTTATAGCCGCCTCTTTAGCTAAATGGTTAAACTTGTTGTCTAGCATTGTACGAACCGGGTGAGGTCCTAGGTTTGAATCCCGGAGAACTGATCAACTACTTGCCTGTAAATAAAACCGATCAGTGAAACGGACATGATTTCACTTTGCTTATTTTATTTTATTAAAGGATTCTTGGGGATTACCCTTCGATACTAGCCATTATAATTTAAACAGCTTTTAATTTCGGACGTAATTATTTTAATTGGTAAGCTGTGTTATCTGTTGAGTTGTAATCTGTTTGGTATTATGGAAGTAAATTTATTGAAGCTAAAGTTTTAGTACTGAACAATTGTTATATGGCTACGCGGATATTGCCAGGACTAAGTATTAGGATTTGGCAACTTCAAATTTCAATTATATATAAAATAAACCCTTAGCTATGTTCTTGGAAATAGAACTTGCTGTAGGGATAATTCCAAACTATTTTAATTCAAAATAATATTTGCCTGTTTACAATCACAGTATTTCATTGTATTATAGACAACTACCTACTTATTTTTAGGAATTCGTCGTGGCATCTTGTATCAGTTTATTGTTGATATACTTAATTTTTCCAAAACGCCGTAAGCGCCCAATAATAATCCAATATTCTTTTGCAGGAAAACGGACGATCTAGATGACGAATTCAACACAATCCCGCTGAGTGTCAACGGAAATGTCCACAGTGCTGGCAACGCGGTCTAGTCGTCTCTACGTTAACGAATAAAGCGGATTACACTCGAAAGACTTTTTGACGTCTAGTTGAAACTACCCTACTTTAAGTACCCACAGGTTTTTCAGTTACCATAAATAAACTCGATATTTATGATCGCATTATGTCCATTAAGCTGGTTACAAACATTGTATTAAAATATATTTTGTGGATCATAATGCGATTATGAATACAACTGTATCATTTGTACCTGGTTCTAAAATATATTTATAAGTCCTTGTAATGTTTTATTTTGACCTGACGAAGAGGCCATTTCGTACAAAGCAAGCAAGCATTTCTTTAGATTTTTGTTCCTTTGCTTTGTGCGTGCATTATAGTTGTTGAAAATTTGCATTCAATGTAGAGGTTTTATATATAATTAAAAATCATTAAAACGTTTTGATTAGAGAAAATTTAAATGAATCACATCAGTAGTCTGTTTTAAGGTTAAATAAATTTTATAACGCAGCCTAAGGAGACATTCTTTGTACTACCCTCAGAAGCACCAAATATTGAGACATGGAGCAATGAGAAAATATAAAGGATCCATTGCTCAATTGAGAAATAGAAATGACAAAATGTTTCGGTCGCAAAGGACACAGTCCGATCAACTACTTGTCTACATAAAATGTATATGTGAAACGGGGAGAGTAAGGGGGGGAAAAAGGGGGACACAGTGTTTCTCTTTAGCATCATATTTCGCTCGAAGTAATCAAAGCGAGCGAAAAATTTCAGCGGTACTGAAAATACACTTTACGGCCGTACATGAGCATGAGCCCGGTGGAGTGTGCGTTATGAATAATTGATATGACTCAAAATGCGGATGGAAATGTAACGGTCTCGTTTACCTCAGAATGTGTAATTATTTTTCGAGTGTAACCTTCTTTAATCAGAAGCCGGGTCGGGTGTGGATTGGCGACTCGGTCGCTAGTGCGTGTCCGGCCTTAGTTAAGTTACCTAATTTATTTGTTAGTTACCTCAAATAGATGATGTTGTCTCTTTAGATTGTCGCAGTTGGTACAGCGGGAATATTTATTATATAGTTTGGAGGACTTTTCGTTTCGCTCGAAACATTTTAAGATTTATAAGCAACGACATAATATTGTTTGCAGTTTACACGAGTATACAACACTTAACAGTTTAAAATGCGAAATATATTTTAGTTAACTACTTTTAATTACGACGTTACGGATTATTTGCAGCAGTCGTGGTCGTGGATTCATTTAGTAATAAATGAATGTATTACCAGTTTTAAACCGTTAAAAGTATTTTATAAGCAACGACATAATTTATATATTTTTTTAATTTGATACCAAAATGTACTGTAATTGTAATTTGACTCTATTTAACTTGACCAAACATCTTTTCCTTACCACACAAGAAACATTGTTCTGTCGACAAGCATTCTCACCCATACTGACGAAGGAAATAGTATTTGTCTCTATTCATCTTACTGAATCAATTGTATGAAATCTACCACATGTTCAACCCGACGAAGTGGAAAGGAAGCGAACCATTATTTTATTATTTCCACTGTGTAGAACCGATAATGTGAGCTGTTATTGTTATAAAGAGAACAAGGATTACTTCTATCGTCGATTATTCTTTCAGCTTATAAATAAAACACTTAACGGTTTAAAACGCGATATATATTAGTTAAACTTATTTGAAAATTATTTTTAACTTCGGCCCGATGTTTCGAATGCTTTGCAGAAGCCGTGGTCATGACGGCTGAAGTTAAAAATCATTTTAAAATAAGTTTAACTGATATATATCGCTTTTAAACCGTTAAAGTACCTTATTTAAATGTGTACTACTCGCGTAAAGGCCAGACAGTATTAGTAGATATTTGGGAATAAATCTGTAACGTTGGTAGATAAACGAAATGGCCCAATGGTTATAGTTATTTTTGTGTATATGTTTAAGTAAATAACCATAATAAAGAAATTATGTGCTTATTTTTTAAAACATAACTTTGATTGAATACTTACAATAATTTTGTACCTAAATCTGGTTTTCCAGAATATTATGTGCCATTTAGCTTAAATCTTTGAAACAACGATGTACGAAGTGCGATAATCTATTTTTCCCCTTAGTGTTTAAGTAAGGACTGATATTATAAATATATTCTGGCTATCAAAGAGGTTACAATTCGGATCTACATTTAATACTAAAGTATGATCTCCAACGGCTGTTTGCTGCCTAGTCGGGTGTATAAGGTTGACAGCGAATAAATTAGACATTTTAACGTTTTCGAACGCAAAATATATATACATATACAATAATTATAAATTAACAAATTTTATATATTATTTAGCGTTTCAAACCGTTAAAAGTGTTTTTCCTAATGAATACTGGCAAAGTCCAGACAATACTGCTACGTTTTCATGTTTGTAGTAGTGTAGCTGCTTAAAGCGCAAACTGGTTTATTCCGGTTTTACTCATTGTATACACTACACTACTACATGCGCATAAACGTCTGGTAATGGTTGAATTACCCCTAGGTACGTTTTGTTACCTCTTTGACGTACGAAGCTGTTTTCTGTTCGCACTGCCTCTTTTCACTGTCAATTTACCCGTTACCGCTTTTTATGGAACCAAATAAAATCTTTTCGTCTAAATTGTTGATGTTTTTGTAATCGGCAGAGTATGTATAGTATCGTAATAAAGCACTATCTTTAATTATCTGTCTTTTATTGTTTATCTGTAGATAGAATCTTCAAATCCTTGTTTACCATTCACAATTTTATTATATTCTAAAACATACTTAATTGAATAAATAATTTTTTATAAATATTCAAGTAAAGCAAAAAGACAGGAAAGCTATTTGTTAAAAATCAACGGCATTTTCGTTTTTCATATGAAAAGACATCTTCGGACAATTCTGAAATATTTGTACAAAGGATCAATTTGACTTCATTTTAAAAAAAAAAAGGGAAAAAAAAGTATCAAAAGCAATATGCGAAGTAAATTACACCTCTCCGTCACAGTCTGCATTGTGTGCGACACAGTATTTCTGCGGACAGTGTAGCAGAGCGTTAATTATTCAAATGTTATGCAAGTAGGGCTGTCACTTCCAAATTGGTATATTATTCAGCACTTACGGTACACGGGGTGTAAAAAGTAATTGTACTAAGAATTTGCATAGTTGTCATACACCATACACAGGTCAACGTTTTCCTCAATCAACATCAGGAAGTCTGTGTCTGCCCTATTGATCCCTTGTACATGCAAGTAATTGATAACAATCTTGCTAAGGCTTAGGCTAGGGTGTCAAACGGACGAACGAGCTCTCATAACCTTTGTGCGGAAGATACTTACAGAAGGATTTCTTGGCCCCATCTGCGTTGGGGGTGTCTGAGTGTCTGATCAATAAAGACAACATCCTTGACAACGTTACTATCGTCTATATTATTAAAAACAAGAGTGTCAAGTACCTGGTCGGTGCATGTGCGCGGAATGGCGCATGAGAGAGCCCTAAGGTCCATGCTGAAATCTCCTTGAAATGCGTGGGAGACTGAAGTTGTGGTGGTGGGATGAAGTTGCAAGACCGGGGAATCTGATGTATTCAGAACTGAAAAGAGTAAGCACAGGATAAATTTCATTAGCAGAAACGGCTAGGGCCTACAAGCTGGTATAGCCATTGATGATGGATTTATAATAAGAATATTTCTCTGGAATTGGATTCAACGAGCTTTATAATGCAACAGCTTGCCAATAGTAAAATACATTTTTAAATGCATAAACGAAGTCAAATCGAACTCACAGTGTAAAGGCACTTTTAACAAAAGTTTAATTAAATATTGAATCTTCTACATTTCAAACAATTTTAACATTAGCAATTTTGTAATAAAAACAAAAACATATCTAAATTTAATGTAATACTTATTGCTTTAATTCAAACTCCTGTTATTATTAAATTATAACAATTCGCATGACGTTTGACAGTTGCACAGATAATTTTTAATTTGACATGTAAAAAATTGACAGCCCTGTACATGTAGTACAGCGTAAACTATTTTCATTTTACCAACAATTATACGACAGAAAGACTCATACTAATTGGATACAGCATATCCGAGCTATTAAAATCATTTTGTTAAGAATACGTTCTTTGGTATCAGAATCAAAGGTAAACTTTAATGATTTATTTAAATATACTATACTAAATGAAAAACAATTTAAACGTATTTAATACTGGCAATTAATAAAGTCTGTAGAAATGTATTTATGATTAAAAATGTAATTCAGCGTTGAAAAGTTCTATAGTTCGAGCTTACAGAACAGTCATTGTAAGTATTATGAATGCCACATTGTTTTAGCCTCTCATTGCCAAATGAGAAGCCTACTTTCAGTGCTTACAACTCTTTTACATTATCTCTATAAATGCACGGAACAGACATATGTCTGTGCTTGTTTAAACGGATGATTGTTTACAAGACGAATTCTACGAACCTTGTATCTAATTGATTTTTTATGTCATAAGGATTCAATCTCTGGCTATTGAAGATATAACGCCTTACACACCATAAAAGATATGTCTTTATTATTCTTTACTATATTAAACGCTCGATATTCTGTAGCTTTCACGACACTTTAAAACATGTAAATAAAAATGAATCACATGAGTCAAATATAAAATTTTATAAAACTTGGAATAACTTTATAACTCCGTGTAAAGTAAAATTAGTTTTTCGATTATGTTATCCGTTATATAATTTACCAATTTTTCTGACTCTCGTACCTATCGTTTGTAGAGACTAGCGGCGGCGGTAGTATGCAGCTGTGAGTTCTGCATAATTTTTGTTAAGACTATGACGTCATGTTCTTATTTTAGTTTATTTGTAACTTACTATTCATTACAGCTGGCGAGTTTGTCAGTTCTTCTTATTTGTGATAGTAAATGTAAAATTAAATTCTTTAGTTTTGTGACGTTGATAAATAATTGTACCAAGTTACCTACATTAATAAATTATTTTTTACTTTTGGCTTT